CTTGCCGATGCAAACACAAGCTCAGCACTTTGGAATTCACGGCTATTCACAACATAACACATTCCGACTGTCGCTGCTTTCCCCCTACCACTAGCCTTGACTTCCATCGCCTGCCCATCATGGGGAATGGACCATTTCTAAGCTTGCCTTTGTCTGGCTGAGCCCCTGCTCAGCTCTCATGGACCATGTGACCATTCACTTCCACCATTCAAGCCATCGCAGTCCTTCCCCAACAGTTTTTCCTTTTCTCCAAGTGGCCAAGACCTTGAACATTATCAAAAGGTAATCCTCTCTTTAGCACACCTGTCTGCACCAATAAGCACTCCAATGACACTCAGTGTAACTTAGACAGGAATGTGTGTTAAGCAGTAGTGTCCTGGGAAAAGTTTACCAACCAGCTGTCCTGCTTGGAAGGGAGATAGTAAACGAAGATATATCCATACAGCACTTATTATAAACGTTGCTGATGTAAAGGAGATGAGTTTCATTTACACATAATGAACTCTTCGACACTTTTTGTCAATTCTTTGTAAGCCTATTGTTTTCTTGGTCAGGCAGTTATGCTTATAGCTGATCTGTGGTTAGTTTTTAGAGGTGAGTAGTTGCAGCACGAACGGCTGCCGACACTTGTGTTTCATTAGTGAGATGAGTGTGAAGGAGCTGGGTTGGTGCTTCCTTCACTGGGAGCAAGTGCTTCTCTGCTCACTCAGACAGTGACTTCCAAATTCTGGAATATTTGTTTAAATTTCTGTGCTATTTATTATGTACAGGTAAATATTGCAGACACTGTGCAAGTTTATGATTAATCAGCATTACTAACATCATTCGCAAGACTTTTCTGGATCTAGAGAGTCAAAGTAATGATAAGTAATGGTAAATTAGCCCCTGAATTGTAATGTTTGCCTGTTTCTGCAGTGTAAATGTTCCCACATAACTGCTTTCCAACTATCAACCTGATGACCATGAACGTCAACCCAGAAAGTGATGCTCAGGCCTCTCATTATATAATATTTCCATCATGAAGACACAGTAGATCCAAGCAAACTGAAGAACATGGGTAAGTGTAAAATAATTGGAACATATTATATTGCAGATTTATTAACTTTGTTTCCATTTAATTTATTTGATGATACATTTATGTAATGTAATATTTAAATATGACGGTGCTTAATTACTGGCCTGCAAAATTTCTGGAATTTTTATACTAATAGGCTATCACCTATGGGCACAAGGCGACGCCAGTACCTCTCTGGAGTAAGGTGGTTAAATCCATTTTTACTGATGCAGAACAGTTCTTTCGTACAAACACAAAGGTGGTGACTGAGTGGCTAAATCCCTGTGGATCAACATTATTTTATCAGTGCCCCAGCTCCTGAAGATCCTGAACCATGTTTGTCTTCTCCAACTCTGTGTTCCCAGGCCTAGCTAGCCCAGTGAGTGGCTTGATCAGTCTTTGTCAGCCTTGTCCTTCACCCCTAGACGACTGATGAAAACTGACTGTGCTGAGAATACGAGAATCACCTTGGCTTGAGCAGTGTAACTCCTGGCTTGGCTTCCTCACCTGCACCACACAGGTCTGACCTGGCCCTGCAGTCCTGCACTAGCCAGCCACTGGACTCTTAGCCTGAAAATGGGCACAAGGTGACATCAATAGAACAAGAGAAGAGCTACCAAAGGCTTTCTGTGGAGAGAATACCGATGGGCCCTGTCAAAGAAGGGACTCCATGCTGATGCTGGGCAGAAAGGTGTTGATGCTTCATTATCAGCAGCCGTATTTGTTACTAAAAATACATTCATGCTGGCCAAGTTGTGAAACATGGTGCGGACAGTGTGGATACAGATATGGATAGATGAAAATGGATCTTGTGGAATCATTTCACATACCGTGGGGCCTAGGGAGTCCCACGATGTGCAGTCAGCAAAGTGGCGGTGCACAGAAGCCAGAGGTGCGGTACCAGGCCTGCCCGGAAGCCCGAGACCTAGGGGGGCCAGTGGTGTAAGCTCTGGTTTGAGTCCAGGATTCCAAAAGCCAGGATTTCTGTGTCAAAGGGCAGGAGAAGGTGGATGCGCCAGATGAGAGAGAGAGAGAGAGAGAGAGAGAGAGAGAGAGAGAGAGACTGACCTTCCTGTGACTTCTTGTTCTGCTCGGGCTCTCAGTGAATTGGGTGATACCCATATTTCTAACATAGTTCATATTTTGCGGGACCACAAAACACATCTCAATGGATTTTTATAGTCAAACTCCCAGGATGGGCTTGTGGCTAAGAGGTTAACATAGCCCTTGGAACATCCACACCCATATCAGGGTGTCTGGGTTCGAGTCCCAGCTCCACTTCCAACCTGAGCTTCCTGCTAATGTGCAGTCTGGGAGCTCCAGTACTTGAGACCCTGTTGCTCATGGGGGAGACCTGAAATGAGTTCCAGGCTTCTGACTTCTGCCTGGCCCAGTCCCAGTGGTTGCTGACATGAGGGGAATGAACAAGTGGATGGAAGAGCATTCTCGTCTCTGTCTCGTTAGCTCTTTATCTCTATCTCTTGACCTTTCAAACAAAAAATGAAAATAAATTTTTAAAAAATCAAAATGTTACCGAGTGGTTTCTCTACCCACAAGTAAGTGAATTAAGAAAAAATTACAGAAAGAGATATCTGGAAAATTCATGAATGTTTTGAAATCAAAACAGTCCTCTAAATAAGGCATGACTCAAAAAAGAAAATAAGAGAAATTAAAAAAATACTTTTACTTTAATAATAATGAGATCATAGCATATCAATGCATGCATTTGTAGGATACAATTAGAGCGGTGTTACAGGGGAATTTATATCTTGAAGTATTTACATTAAAATGAAAGGAAGATTTAATGCCATTGACCTGTTTCCACTTTCAGAAACTACAAAAGAAAAAAATAGCAGATTCAGTCTAAAGATAACAGGAAAAGGGAAAAAATAAAGAACAGAAATAAAAAGGAAAATAAACTCACAACAGAAAAATCAAGAAAACAAAAAATGGTTCTTTGAAAATATTAATAAAATTCATAAGCCCTTAATTATACCAATCAAGAGAAAAGAATCATAGATTAATAATATAAAGGATGAAAAAGGTGATGTCACTATAAATACTACTACTAACATTAAAAGTATAATAAAGAAATATCATAAAGAGCTTTATAGCAGTAGCAGACATATTGCTGGAAATATACAAAATATGAAAATGTATAGAAGAATAAATAAAATTTTGAATAGCCCTATATCTATTAAAGAATTTCTGCCTTATCACAAAAGAAAATTCAGGCTCCAGTGACTTCTCTGGTGTATTTTATTGGACACATAAGGAAGAAACAATAGTAATCCTATGCAAATACTTTTAGAAAATAGAAGAAGAAGGAACAACTTACACCACATTTTGTGAGGCCAACCTAACCCTGAAAACAAAACCAAAGGCATAAGAAAAACTTTTGTCATAAACACAAGTTAAAAGAGACTCTAAGAAAATACTAGCCAACAGAATCTGGTAACATGTTAGCAATAAAAAGGACAGCGTATCATGATCACACAGAGTTTATTCTACTGTGGTAATGTAGGTTTAATATTTGCAAGTACGACGTGTCCGGTTAAAAGAAGCTAAGAGAAAATTTATATAATTATTTCAATAAATGCAGTAAAACAGGTTGATGACATGTGAAATGCATTCATGATTTTAAAATAATTCTTAGTATGCTAGAAATTAAAGAAAACATACTCAACCTGTTAAGTAGAATATATAGAAACCCTATAGCTCGTGTTGTACTCGGGAGATTGAATACTGGTTCCCTAAGATCAGCAAAAGGGTAAAGACCTCTTTCCTCACCAGCTTGAATCAACAATGAACAAGTGCAATAAGACACGAAAAACAAAAGCCACACATAATAGGAAGGGAAAAGTAAAACCATGTTCATTAGCTGCTGACATCATCTTGTAAGTAGGAAAATAATGAGCAGTACTAAAAGAAGTGCTGCAAAACTGAAAAAATATATCAAGCACACAGGATTAATATCTAAAAATAAATTGTGTTTCTCTATGTTTCTAAGAAACTATCTGAAAATAATGTTTTTCTAAAAAATGCTTATAATAGCATCAAAGATTATAAGTAACATTATAGAATATAAAATAAAGACAAATTCATTTAAATATGTATAAGGCTTTTATGCTGAAAACTATAAGACATTACTGAAAGAAGTTAAAGACTTAAACAAATGGAGATTATGCCATCTTTGGCTGGTAAAATATTGTTAAGATGCCCATTATTTTTACATTTTTCTATAGCTGCACTTCAATCTCAATCAAAATCCCAGTATGAGTTTTTGTAAAAAAAAAAAAAATTTATGTTCTAAAATACAGGTGAAAGTACAAGATCAAAAATAATCAAAACCGTTTTGAAAAGGAAGAACAAACTTGAAGGAATTACACTACTTGATTTTATGACAATATAAAGCTGATATAATTATAACAGACTGATACACTGCTGTAACACACAAAGAATAGGTAGATAGAGCAAAATAAAAATTTCAAAAATAGACAACAGATATAAATGTTCAGTTGATTTTCAACAAGAAACCAAAGCAGTTCACTGGTGAAAGAAATTTATATCTATGGAAGAAAAGTTGCCCTGTGTGTGACTTGTATCTCACGCTATACATAAAAATTTATTTGAGATACACATGAAACCTACACATGTGAATGTCTTAAAAGGAAGTTCAGAGAATGTCTTCACAACATCGAAGTTAGACAAAGTTTCTTAGGACATGACAAATCCTGAAAATAAAACAAAACAAAAAATGACAAAAATGAATTTCATCAAAATTAAACACATGTGCTCTTCAAAAGACTCTTTAAATAGTTAACAGGCTTGGAGATAACAGTTGCAATGTATCTACCAAAGGATTCATATTCAAAATATATAAATATGTAAACAACCCCTAATCTTTGATATTAAATTTTAAATGATCTAGAGTTTTGTTTTTTAATCAACAGAAAGCTCAAAGGATCTTACCAAAGAAAAAAATTCAAATGGTCAATGAATACATAAAAAAGTGTTCAGCATTAGTCATCAGGAAAGTACGTGTCAAAGTCGTGAGATAATATCATCCACCTACTAAGGAGAGATAAAACAAAACAGCAGGAATGAAAAATGGTAGAGGACCTTGGAAACAAGACCAGCAATATCATCACAGTAAAAACGCTTCAACCCTGTGACCCAGCAACGCCACTCTCGGATGTCTGCACCATTGAAATGAAAGCATTCACACAACAGAAAGACTTGTGTTACAGTACTTATAGAGGCTTCCTTAGTAAAAATCGCTAGATGTAGCCCTGATGTCCATCAAAATGAAATGGAGAAGCCACTGGTGACAGGCACACACAATGGAATACTACACATCAATAAAAAAACAGTCGCAAACCATGAATAAACCCCACAACATGAATGAACCCCCAAACACAAGGCTGAGCAGAAGCAGCTGGACAGAGCACTGTGTGATCCTATTCAGGTGAACTTTTGAAACAGGCAAAGCTAATCCCTGATTTTAAAAATGTGACTTAAATCTTTTTTCTTGTCATTACCAAAAATGCCAGGCAATGTGATTCCCCTAAATACACAACACACACACACACACACACACACCACAACCTTCCGACAGCTGATACCAAACCTGACTTAGCCGTCTCCTTCACTGAGACACGGAAATTGGATTTCTCCCCCTGCTAGTACAGAATCTTATGTACTCAAGGATGCAAACTGTAAATCAATACCCACGATGCAAAGGTGACATTTCAACAACTGTACACCCCGGAGCCTCTCAGGAACTTGGGATCATTTTGTTCCTGTCAACTATCTAACTTTTTAAATAATTTATGAGCGTCCAATTCCACCTCCTACAATGCAAGATGAATCTTCCTCATTTTATAAGTGTTATGTCCTCATTCAAAGAATCAGATCCTCACTTACTGCATACTGTTGAACACCTACTAGGTGCCAGGTACTGTATTAGGAAGTGTGTATTTAAGTAGTCACAGGTAACCTGGAGCCTACGTGCAGAGAAGAGGAAACTTTTGAATGGGCATTGAATGGTGGGCAGGAATGTCCTTGGAGGAACCCACCATCTGCAGTGTCACGCGAAGACTTAACAGTGAACAAAGCAGAGACACAAAGCAAGTGTGGTAGGAAGGTCGGAGGCGGGGCTGAGTTAAGGATTTTCACTTTATCAATAAGTAAAATCATGCGAAGCTAACTTTGGATGGATGTGACCATCTGGGTATGTGGAGACTGGACTGGGAGTCTGTGTACAACATGAGAAGACCAAACTGAGTGGGTACATGCATGGAATAGAGACAGATTCCTGCCAGGTTCCTGAATTCCAGAGGTCCTAAAGGGAGGACAAAGTTGGAACTCATATCATTCAGCTCTTAGTATATACAGTAACACCACCTTTAGGGCAAAAGACATAAATATGAGAGGTTAATCAAGAAACAGGGAAGAAGAGGACATAGGAAGAAGAGGTGAATGGAGACAGTCTCAGAAGGCAGGCACCCGGGACACAGGTTGTGTGCCAGCTTATTTTGGGGGGATTAGCAGCTAATAAGAAGCAGTTTGCATTTATCACAGTTAATCCCCACCTCTATTTCACAAGGCCATACTGTTAAATATGTTTTACAAAGAAAGAACTAGAAGTTTAGAGGAATGGAGTCCCTTGCTCGAGGTGACACAGTGTCTAAGTGGCAGAGGCAAAACCAAACCTGGGGCTCTCTAGTGTCAAACGTTGACTCATCGCCTCCGTGTTAGGCTCCTCTCCAGTGGTTGCCCCTTGCCCTCGCTCCCGATTACCCTATCGTCATCGTATCTGGAGCAATCCCAGGTTGTTTTTTACTTTGCTTTAGACGCATACACCATTAGACTGAAAGGAACCTTAAGAATTAGGGTGGTCAGTCCTCTAGTTTTATAGGAAATAACGTGACACTTGGAGATAGGCCTCCCCGAAACCCCGCAAAAATTGTTGGACAGTTATAGTGCACAGCCCCCTAAATCTTCCAGTGAATCTTGCAACATGTTCAGCTCATCCATTCTCTTTGCCGATCCGGAGGTTTTGCAGTGGTCGAGTTACAGAGCAGGCTGGCTTGGCAGCAAAGAGTAGCTCTTCAGTACTGGTCTGTGAAAAGGATAAATGTCAAAATAAGTTTGAGATGAGAGAGCGAAGTCTCAAAAATTATTATGTTTCGTTCGCCCTTCTCCACTGAGGGAAAAATGTTCCTTAGCATGTGTTTAATGTGGACGTTGGGAACTTGCAGAGTCCTCATTGCTTAAGTAGTCACAGATTTCTCAGGACAAAGTCTTACCCGCTGCGGCAAGAATGACTCTTTGGTTAAGTACAGCTCCACTACGCGTAGGAAAACTAAGCTTTATTACAGCAAAGAAATAGCCTCCTTTAGGCTGAACCCTGGACCGGTTGTGATTTCCAAATGGAAATTTGCGTTACGCTTCCAATTATACACTGGTGTCTAAAAGGAAACACAACCATCGAGAAGATATGTGATAACCTAGTCTTGAGAGACTGAATGCAGTTCATTGGTAACCATTCCAGATTCCAGGACGTTGAGACCTCGGCAGGTTTGGCAAAGCTTTTACCTGGAACCCGACTGGGAACGAACAGTCTCTTCTGAGTAAGACGGACTCGCATGTGGAAGCAGCGGACTTGAAGACTCAAGAGAGACTCTCCATGTTCTCCCGCAGCGGAGCTGAGGGCCTCTCGGAGGGGATCAGGAGGATTTTGGAAGCTTGGGGCCTAATGGAATGCCAAGACATTAATTTAACAGAAGTTCTCTCTTTCAGAGACACAATGAACAATCCTAGCTGCACCTGGAAATAAATTTTACCTACTACAGATATTCCTCAAAAATTTCATGGAAAAGTGGAATTAAAAGATGTTTGTTTTGAGGCAAAAAAAATTGAAATTTACACAAAGTTTTATGATAATATACATTTTCCATGAATTTTTCGGAGATGTCCTATTAGCTTTTATAACTGTAAAAGGAACTTTCTGTAGGCTGTTTTCCCTACGTCTCCGTCATAAATCTTTCCTCATTGAAACTGGATAGAGACTATTTAAATTCTGGCCCAACAATGTCTTCCCAGTGTGTGGGGAGACAGAGGTTCTCTCTACTTCTGGATTTTAGCTGAGTTTCCCTAATGATATTCCTCAGTGTGGAAAGCCTCACTTAGAATTGTGACTAGGAAAACAATCCCTGAAGGTATTTTTGAAAAATGCCAGGGAAATGCAATGTTTGGAATTCAGGTTAAGCTCTGAAAGGTTTTTGGTTTCATCTCTACTGTTTACCATTAATGTGCTATAAGTTAAATCACCTACAAACTCAGTTTCTTCATGACTGTAAAATTTTTTCAGTGTTATTGTGATGATAAAATGAGATTCCTACAATGGACTGGGTAACTAGTATTGTCCCTGGCAACAAATTGAATCCCACAACTGTTCCTTCCCTTTTTTAAAAAAAATATTTGATACAACACCCATATATCACTGTATAAACCCAGAAGAGTGTCGCTTATTTGAAATAAGGCAGTGTGAAAAAACTTAAGGGGTAAGATAGGGCAGAAGTTTGAGAAGGTTCTGAACAAAAGCAGAGACAAGAATAACAGAGGATTTGCTATAATCGTTTCTGAAGATCTTTGCTGCGTAATGTGGGGTTCTTGCACAATGGCCAGGCATGTATTTGACAAATGGAATGATTGTTTTGGTCTGTGGTAGGTAGAGAACAACGGTAGACCAGAAGTTCATGAAAAGGATTTAAATTGGGCAAATCTTTCAACCTCTTCTGACAAGTGTAGTCAACCTTGAAAGAAACTGCCAGTGGTAACTTCTGAATTTGCAAGGACCCCCATAGAAGCTGACATCTTGGATGATAATAGGCATCACTGTGTTTATTTTGGATGTGGTAATAGTGTGAATGGAATGAGACCTTCCCTGGATTCTTACACATACTAGTTTTTAGATTTCACTAAATAGAGGGATGAGGTTTCTTTATTGAGACCAGGAGACTAGATAATGAGAAATACCCTTTTGGTAGCTGTTCTAGGCCAGAGACAAAAGCCAGAGTTTTCTTTTTTCGCTTACAGCCAACACAGTCAGAAAAAAAAAAAAAAACACAAGTAATGAGTAACATGTATTACGTGTTTATCAGAGTAAAATGAGTATTTGCTCTTATTTTCTCCCCCTGGTTTCCATGCACGCCCTCCAATGCCTACAGTCAACCACACCCATTAATGGTGACAAATACAGATGAAATCTCTGGGAGTTTCCTGTCTGTTATTTGATGAAGAGGGAGAATATATTGTGTATGGATTGGGCTGTCTCCTCTGACTCTGTCAGGATGAGGAAGTGTCATCTAGAGAAACAGTGACACAAGCATGAAAACCCCCAACAGTGAATCTGATGAGAGGGTGCTGCTAATAATTATTATTATGTAATTGGACTGTTTATTGCGCACATGTGAAGTGCTGCGCTGTGAGTGTTAGATGTTCTCTTTTATGATTCTCAGAAGAATCCAATTATTTTCACCATTTTATACATGAGAGTAGGAAGCTGAGCAGATGGCTTCAGAACTGGAAAGAAATAAGTGGGGGATTTGAACTCATGTCTGTAAAGCCTTTTAATAAATGCATAGGTTTAGTTTGAGGATAAAATGTGTGAGTTCTACACATGGCCATTCACTTGTTCAAGGGCAATTCATTGCGTGTTGACCATGTTGCGTGTAGTAGGATGGATCACTACAACACAAAGATGATGTAGGCTCAGTGTTGTCCCACTGAGAAGTCAGGGAGGAGGGTGCAGTACATAAACAAGTCCTTGTGCTGTGGTGGCATGGGTCAGGAATGCCGTAGGAGCTCAGAGGAGCCACCTCTTGCCTGGCTTCAGTGGAAACACACTCCAGGAGAGGACATGGATGAGTGAAATCACAGAAGCAAGAAAGAGAAAGTGAGGAGCACGTGAGTAATGCCTGCTCTGGGGGTGGGGTAAAGACTTCTAAAGGAGGAGGTGTTAAGCAAGGATGTTGAAATAAAAGGCCAAGTTATATCAGGGAAGATGTTGTGCTCTCGGTAACGGAAGTAAACTGTTTCCTCTACAGGGGTTTGAGTATTGCTATGACAGAGTGAGATTCAAGTTTTCTAGAACGTCCTCTGATTCTAGACCTTCAGTTGTTATGGAGGAGGTCAAGACAAGAGAAAGAAAGTCTGTTTAGTGCAATACTGGAATGGTACAGACAAGAGAGGATGATCTGTGGCCAAGACAGCTGATGAGGTTGAGTGAGTTTGTAAAGTATTTACGAAGTAGAATCAACAAGATTTGGCAATGATTTGAGTTGGTAAGAGATGGAATAGGAGGGAGATAGGATCTTGGGTAACTCTGGAAATACAGCTATTTGGCTATAGGATGGTGCTGAATGCATGGAAAAACAGATTTAAAAGGTGTAGAAGTAGAGTCACTGAAAAAGAACACAGTGTTACCCCTGCTAGCACAGTGACTTCCTCCCTAGAGGTCATGGATTGAAAGAGTCTTTTCTCTCAATCACTGCTGTTGGTCCATAAGGAATGGCTTCACTGTTCAATGTCTGGATCACGGTCCAGTTCTACAAGCCATGGCCTTCTTCCCTAGAAGAAGCAGGGTTTTACCACCATAGAATCTGTCTCCTGCAGGGCTACCTGGTTTTTCCAGTTTCTAGGTGCCGTAATCGATGGATAGTTGAGTCATATTTTTTCCAGTATGAGAGATTGCACAAAACACCTCCTTTTTATTCAGGTGCCTTTAACCTGCATGCGTGGAGATTCTGCCAAATGTGTGATATTTGTCCTTAGGGTTGCTTTATCCCCACCCTACTTATAATAGATGGTTTTTCGAGTTGACTCCTGGTTAGCCTCCATAGAAGCCTTCTTTTGCATGGAATTCTTTGGGAATTTGGGAAATGTTATGGTTCTACTGCTTGCTGTTTGTAAGCTTTTAAGATCCTCACCTTTCAGACCAAGAGGTCCATTCTGCATGTTCTTGGGGATGACAACTGGCTTGGGGATTTTATCCAACACAAGTGGCCTAGACTTCTAATCAGGGTATCCTCACCCCTGTTCCCTACACCATAGCAGCCCCAGTAATTTTGCTAGACTTTGTATGCAATCTCTCATCCTTTGCTTCACTGCTCCCCAGAGGGAAGACCAAACTTCGCAAAAAAAGAGCCGCTAGGTGAATATCCTGCAGAAGAAAATAGACATTCACATGAGCTATGGAGAGCAAAACTGCCCACCCCCTGAACTGCTAAAGCCCGAAGCTCCAGAATCTATAAAATCAGTACACAGAAACACACTGAACTGCACTGTAGGACATACATAACTGTTCAGAAAGAAATTTATGGAAACCGACAGTGTGTGCCCAGCTCAGTGGTTCAGGTGAATGATGATCTGCAAACCTCTACAGATCTTTCAGTCTTATGTTCCGGTCCCAGTAAATTATTTCCAGTTTATACCCAGAAAACTGAAGTCTCTCTTTCTCCTCCAGCTCTCTTTTTGCTGACTCATCTTTCCCAGTCTTCCTGGGTGAAATAATCCTGATACCTTCAAATTGCCTAGGTATCCCTGCCAAAGTTCCCAGTTTTGGCACTTTCTGCCCATGTCATAATAATCATTTTACTTTTGTGTTTTAGTAAACTTTAAATTTAGGAATCTCTGTATTCCTAACCATTTGCATGGTTCACTATATGCAAAAGTTCAATGAAAATACACATTATGTTTTGATTCCATTCTTCCATGGACTTTATGAAGAGCTAACATACAGTAGGTACTTAATAAATGTTGATGATTATAATGAAAGAATGAGAGGACAGCTCTACCCCATTGTTCTCAGCATGAAACCAGGAGGAGAAGGTGATCTCCTCTGTGACAGGCCCATGCTACAGGATTTTACTTCTGGGATAACTATGGCCAGGACATGGGAAGAAACCTTACTCAGTACTTCCCCAGCTGGGGTAGACTCTTCACTCTACTTCAGGAACCACAGCTCTTAGGGGTACAGGAGAATCCTGACCTTGCAGAGGAGATGGGGCATGAGCTGGACATTGGAAATGTTCCTGTCAAAGAAGACGCAGGATTGTTCCTTCAGAAACTGAACATATTTCCCAGGTCCAGGTCTTGGAGCAGAAGCCCAGCCACCACTCCTTTCTCTCAGGCTCTTCACCTGATCACTATGATGCCATTGCCCATTTTAAGATGCAGTTCCGGGACATCTCCCAGGCATCAGTCTAGTGGTGCAATCCTGACACTCCCTGGGCTTGCTTTCCCAGTCTCCACCATAGACACCAACGATGCCGTAACTCCTACTGCACGTCAAATTGAGAAATTAGGGAGGCACAGTCTGGTAGAAGCACCCTGCCCACTCTTTTCTTGGCGCCTCTAAACCAGGATTGATTAGTATCGCTTTATCTGAAAATTTTACAGAACACACCTAACTCTTTCCCCAGTTGACATGGCAAGAATTATTCCCCTCCTATCCAGGATCCCCTACATACTTGCCTCTTCAATGGGGGCACAGTTCCAGGTTACACTGTAGCAATAATGCAATAGTTTTTGTATTTAGAGTCTGCACATTCCATTGAATGGGCACTGAAGGCACAAAGTAAGTCTGACTTTTCCTTATCATCCTCATAGACACCTGTAACAGCAGAAGCTTATACACACAAGAAAAGGGATTTCAAAAAAACCCATGGGAAATGGAATTAAAAGTACCTA